GGGCAAGGTGTTCGTGAATAAATCCTCTCTGCTCTGGGATCTGTTAAACCAAAGCCTACGCCACCACTTAATACAGTGACTGTCATGTACGGTCCATGACGCAGTGGCTAAAATGAGTTTTTCTTCACCTACAGAGGAACATCGATGCCAAAAGTGGAAATTCTATGTCTGGTGCTTGTCCCCATGATGAATACACAAAAATATATACATTTATTGATACACTAATTTGAATATGACTACTTCTTATACAAACAGCCTTAAACAACAAGAACCATCTGTGATGAGCTTGAGTTTACTTTCCTTCTGAAGCAGCTGTATAGCATGTTTCTTCCCCTTTTTACCTCACAAATAACTGATCAGTCAAGATCAGTCAAGTTTGATTTGAGTTTGCATTTTTATAGATAACAATATGCCATACAGGGTTAGAAACCACATAAAGTAGCCTACTGGAAATTACTTAACAACTTGAGGCGAGAAAGTGAGGATTAATTATGTTCATTGTTGGCTATTTGTTAGCTGCATGTGTGTAAAATCAAAAAAAGCCAACTTCAACTCCAAACTTCAGTCTTAGCTGATAAATTTGGGGTAAGAGGAAATCTGTGTAAACTTTGTATTCAAGCTTAAGCTACGGCTATAACAGCCACTTTAGAATAAAGACAAAAAAACATGGCATTTCTAAACGTGTTTCTTCCTCACTTTGATAAGACTAATTTAACAAATGCAGTTTGTCTAATTAAACATGGTAATTACTGACAGGTTTACTTGTCCAATCATAGATGGAGTTATTCTTAAGTACATGATACCAAAGTTCAGCGAGTTTTTAGCATGTGAACTCTTTAGGACGCATCTCCCTGCAATTAAAGCTACAGCTGGGCTTTGGAAGAGATTGGTGAGTGTCTATAAGTTAAAGAAGTCAGGTTTAAGAATAAGCCTGGCTTTAAGCTTTTAGAGGGAGTGTTTGCTAAAGAAACAAACACTGTTTATAGTCTACTCCTCTGCAGACTGATCAAACACACACTCAGGGATTAACTCTTTAGGTCTGTCAGCACTGGCCTTTACCACTTTCAGCAGGGGAGCTCAGGGAGAACGCTATGGTGTTTCTCGTTAATCCTTTACTGACTTCCTGAGCGGCGATGTCCTTCAGATAAGAACCACAACACCACACAATGCTAAAGCTTTAGAGCTTGAAATATATGTCCGAAAACGATGGGACCCCACTATTCACATCAGGTTCAGTCAGGTTTGGACATTGTTTCTCAAATATTTGTTGGGCTCAGGTCAGGCTCAACTTTCACATTTGGGTTTATCCTTGTGCATCTCTCACTTTTAATGGTTTTTGGTCTGCATTACTGTCTGCTTCAGTTTTTCTACCGTTAGTGTTTTCTTAGAAAACACAAGTAGAACTTGGTTGGGTTGTGGTGGTTGGGTTTGGGCAGACTTTTGTTGGCCTACAATCTGATTTGGACAGAATTTTGACAGACTGCAGTAACTTTAACATGGAATTTTGTTGAGTTGGGACAGAATTTTGCATGGCTCCAGTCAGGCTGGGACAAAATTTAGTCAGGTTAAGAGATTTTTGTTGGGCTACATTCAGGTTGGGACAGAATTTTGTCTGGCTAAAGGCACACTCAGACAGAGTTTTGTCTGGTTACAGGTACATTCTGACAGGATCATGTCTGGTTACTGGCACATTCAGACACAATTTTATCTGGTTACTGGCACATTCAGACACAATTTGTAGGGGGTTACATTGTGAGGTTAGGACAAGATTATGTCTTGGCCACAGTTAGGCTCAGACAGAATTTTGTTGGTCTGCAGTCAGGATCCGATTTTTTGCTATCTTAAAAAGTTTATTGAGTTTGTTTTTCAACAATTGGATTGGGGGGAATTCTGTCAAGCTAATGTCAAGTTGAGAATTTTGCCAGGCTCCAGTCTGGTCAGGCCACAGGCAAAATTTTGTTAGTCTACAGATTTACACAGGAGACTTTTGTCAGACAACTTGGTACAAAATATTTTACATTTACGGCATTTGGCAGACGCTCTTACCCAGAGCGACTTACGCTTTGATCATTTTACACAGGTAGGTGAAGGTAGTGTTAGGAGTCTTGCCCAAGGACTCTTATTGGTACAGTGTAGGGTGTTTGCCCAGGCGGGGGATTGAACCCCAGTCTACAGTGTAGAAGGCAGAGGTGTTACCCACTACACTACACCAACCATTTTTCAGGCTAGAGGTACATTTAGACAGAATTATGTTGGGTTACAGTCAGGTTGGAACAGTGTTTTGTCAGGCTACGGTTGTCAGACAAGATTTTGTCAGACAAAACTTGCAGTCAAGTTCAGACAGAATTTTGTTGGGATTCTGTCTGTTGTCATGCTACAGTTCGCTGCTCTGGGTCGGGTTGGGTCAGGTCAGACTTAAGCAGTATGTTCTCGGCCTATATTCAGTTTTGGATCAAAGTTTCAGACCCGAGTAAAGTTCTAAAAGCTTCCTAAGCTCTGTCACTTCTACCGAACCACAAATTTGTGGAGTAAGATTCTCCTAAACATTGCATGTAAGGGTTTGTGCAGCAGCTGCTTAACCTATATAGTTTATTATTTATTTGGGTTCCAAAGGGAGAAAAGGAGACTAGGTTGACACACATAGTGGGTGAAACACTATGAGAGAGAGAGACAGAGACAGAGAGAGAGAGAGAGAGAGAGAGAGAGAGAGAGAGAGAGAGAGAGAGAGAGAGAGGAACACTAATAAAAGTGAAAGGGAGCCTGGGCTAGAAAAACGGGGGCCAGATTTACAGGCAGGAAGGGTCAGAGGTCTTGTTGCTGGATGCCTTTTTAGAGTGCTCCTTTCTCTCCTTTCCCTTCTTTTTACTCTCCTCTTTTCTTCTCCTGAGGTGCATCCCTCTCTCCCACCCCTCCCACTGCATTCCCCAACACCCCTCTCTTTGTTTATCTGTACAAACACAGTTTGTTTGAGGCTCTATACACTTACAAATAAAAACACAAACATGCACACACACATTCTTACATGTGCGCTACATACGAACATCCACAGATTTATCTTGTTGTCATTCTCATTTGTCATTTTTACAGCAGACATGTTTATATGCATTTATGTGTGCGTGAAAGAGTGTGTTTTCGTGTGAAGGGCTGTAGTGTTAATAATGGGTGGGCTGTGTTAGTCTGTGGACAGACAAAGGACCTCTAGGCCCATAAAAGCCCAGAATGCGTCTGATATAGCTCATTAATTCTGTCTACAGTGGTCAAACAGGAGACTAATAACACAGAGAGGGGACTCTCAGCATTCTCAAAACCACGTTTTGCTTTGAGGCTTCATGAAAACTGAGAATTGCCATATTTTCATAGAGTTAAATTCCAAAGTAAGAGAGGGAATTTATTAGTTGCTCTTTTTGTTTGATATCGCTTGACTTGACCTTCTCCAACCCTAAGTCCATCCATCTGTCTATAGCAGTATTTTTTCAGGCTGTAGTCCACCTGCATTCAACAATGTTCTTGCTTTTCCTGCATGCTAACTATTGATCAAGCCGTTCTTGAGATGAATTAGGTGAGTCTGAAGGAATAAACACAATCCTGTGCGGTTTAAATCAAAGAGGATGGAGCTACGACGTACATCTACAGCTTATTCTTCAATTCTAAGCCTCTGATGGGGATGTCTGTGATAGATTTGTAAAAAGAAAAGAGCAGAGCTTGTAGGAAATCCTTAGCTGTGAGTATAAATGGAACAGTTACTGGTTTAATTTATATGCCATGGTATAAAACCCAATGCTAGTCATACTATTTCACATTTTAATAATTCATATTACTGTCTTTTTAAAAGTGACAGTGGAGGTAAATAACCTACTGCTGCATCTCCCTGCAAAACGGGTTTACATAGTTATAGTCTGAACAGTAAGAAGTGGGTTGCTCTGATAATATCATATTTATTTCAAGGGAAGTTGTGCAAAATGAACAAAAAGACAATATAATTTTTTATTTAAAAACAATTTATATGCCAATTAACGATCAGCTACAATATTATAATCTTGACAGGACTAAGTGTTATACCAAAAACACAAGTTTGGAAAAGAGTAACTAAAAATCAACAACTAATTTCCAACATCAATACTTTTATCAATATATATATATATATATATATATATATATATATATATATATATATATATATGGTAATATTATTATTAATTCATCTTAACAATAATGAACAAAAGTTCATTTTGGCAACTGACATCAAGATAGGAAATATCCACATCATCCCATCCCTATGTGAGACTGCCAAAAGGTGGAAAAACAGGTTAATAGCATAATATAACCTAATATAAGATTATATCATTGTATTAACCTGTTAAAATATATGGCCAGAGAGACCGAGATGGTTGATGTTATATAAAGATATTTCAAGACAAAACTTAAACTGGGGGATGGGAAAGGCAAGAAGTGTGCGTGAGTTCACACACATATGCATGTGTGTGTGTGTGTGGCCTGGGCTGAAGCAGGTTGTTATGGCAGCACACAGGAATGTCTGGCTCTCTATTATAAAGGCCCTCTGTCACTCTTTCTACATTGAGAACTTCACAGGGCGGCAGCATTCCGTGTGTCCCTTTGGGGGAGCCATACTTCCATAAAGTCAACAAAACTGGACAAGATACTATAATTTAACACCTGCTATATTAAGCTGGTTGATAAAGTTATGCATACATTGTGACTGTCATTTGGCCTTAAGGGTCTATTAGACTACTTGTTTGAAAAACACGGATCTACTAAACTACTGGTTTATTCACCCATCACTTTAAAGAAGATATTACATTTTCAAATGTCAAAATCCTTGGCATAATATCATTTGCGTGCGTAAGTTCTTGACAATAAGGAGATCTGACTGTTAATGTACAGTCAACAAAGGGACACATCTATTAAGTGTCTAGGTGTACCCTGTACTGTGAAGAGACCCAGTATTTGGGCAAAAACACGCTTGGACGGGCTTTACTGACCTGTGTGGCTGCGGATGTGCACTCTCAGAGTTCCGTTGCTAGCAAATTTCTGACCACAGTACGGACAAATTTTCTCCTTCTCTCCTGTGTGTGTCTGCCAGACAAACAGAAAAAAAGAAATGACATCTGAAAAAAGACACTAACACAATTACTGATGTTCAGTCTAGTATTGGTGTGAGAAATCTCCTGAGATCACTGACTTTTTTTTTTTGGAGCCCAACCTAAAGATACCGAATTAACTGTTTTTATGCATATAAAACCAATTTTGTTATAGGTACAAGTATAAACTGATTCTATTATGACGCTACTACTCTACAACTTCAGAGATTCCAACTAATTCATAAAAAGCCGTAAAAATGAAGAATCACTCCAGATCCACAATGAACAGAGCTGTAGATGATTTTGTAAATGAAATGACCAAAAAAAGCTATATAACATGGAAAATGCAGTTATAATAAAATTAATATTCAGAATGCCTCAAAGTTGAAAGTGGTAATCAAATCTTAATACAGATAATACAGGAATTACCGTAAATAGATCATTACAATGTATTATTTTTCATTTAGTAAGTTCTTGCTGTTCCCCAAACACTTGAAATATTGAAAAAAAAATATATTTAAACATCCTCCAGTTGATTGAAAGAAAAAACAATTATCAATATGACAAGTAAAAAGGGAAGTGTGTAAATCTTTCTTAAAACTCCAATTTCAATCCAATTGAGCATCCATCAAACAAAGAGATGGGACCACAATAATGACTTCATGCTGATCTCCCTTCCTCAATGAAATAATGTAGTTTTGGTGTCATCCAAAACAAAACAAAAGCAGAAACACACGCCTTTTTAAAATCACCACAGACAGACAACAGGCTACAATTTGTGCGGGTAAACTAACATGCTGTCTACAATACAATATATTGTCGGCAAATCAAATCAATTTTATGCACCACCAATATATACTTGTATACTGTTGTGTTAGAATTAACACAAGGTAGTGGAGCCTACTAGATGAAAACCGGTTAAAAATGAGTGGTTCTGCTTCCAGTATGAACCAACACAAAAGAAGACTGCGAGAGGGAGAGGGAGTAAAGAATAAAAGCTAAAAAAAGGGGTACAACCCTTCCTCCCCTCCCTCATTTTTTCAGTTTCTTTTTCTTCTCTTCCTCCCCTTATCCACTCAGTTCCTTTCCCACTCCTTATCTCCTCCACCCCATCTCCACTTCCCTCCCTCCTCCTCCCTCCTCCCTCCATCCCTCGCTCTTCCCTCAACCCAGCTATTGTGACACACACAAACACAGAGGTTTGTTTTCATACATACATGTCAGGACATAAGTATACATTACATTTAAGTTACATTGCTTATAGTAATATTTATCATATGTATTGTACATATTAAGAGTTTTATTCTATAATGGCTGGATATCTATTTGTAACAATTTTGTATATAACGAGTTTCTGAAAAGAACAACAGCTGATGTATAATCTGAACATTTTTTATTTTTATTATTTGATATTTCTTGTATGTGTAAAGCTCTCTACCATCAACGTATATTATGAAAAAAAAGAAAATAACACGTACATGTATGTAATGATATGTCCCATTTTAATTACATACATCTACATGTGATAAGTCTAACCCTAAACCTAACACTGCACTGTACACACTGCATCTGGTGGACATGTGTACATGTTTGGATCTGTTCAGAAGACTGTTTAGGGGGATGGGTTTTTATTGGGACTTGATGAATAATGAAATCTCAAGATGACCAGCCACACTTGGGCTTTACAAGAAAGAGATAGAGTGAAGAGAGCTAGACGAAAAACAGACGGACACTTTATTTGTTATTGGATAGATAAGAATATCGCTGTTCTCAGGAGAAAAACTTGTATCCGTTTTTGTCTTCTTTCAGTTTTTGACATAATTTGAAAATACCTGTTGCCATTTCCATTGTATGTAAATTTCATGATGAATGGACTAAATGACTTGGAAGAAAGTCTGGTTCCATTGACTTACATTAAAAGTAAAGTAGGTTTTTTCCTTCTCCTGTAAAGTTAGAATTTTGGAGATATGAGTTTTTTTTCTGACAACAGCGATATTCTTATCGATCCAATAACAAATAAACTGTCCTTCTGTTTTTCTTCTAGCTCTCTTCACAATATCTCTTCCTTATAAAGCCCAAGTGTGGCTGGTCAGCTTGAGATTTCATCATTCATCAAGTCCATCTGACTCCCAATAAAAACCCATCCCCCTAAACAGTCTCCTGAACAGATCCAAACATATACACATGTCCACCAGATGCAGTGTGTACAGTTTGTTTGGAAAGCTGTTTGTAAGAGAAAGAGAAGCAGTGATGATAACAGAGCTGGACACAGCAAGAGAAACATTTAGAGCCTTTTAAACCAGCTCAATCAAACTGATAATATTATACCGCATCTCACCGACAACTCTCTCCCTCCCCCTCTATGTGTGTGTGATTAATTAACTTCATACATTTTCAGGACAAAAAAATGCCCTGACTTTGTAAGAAATCCAGAGGGGAAAAATAGAGGGCTAAATTACCAATATAGTGAGTGTTTTTTGTTTTGTTTCATTTGCTTTTTCTAAACAAAAGCTCTAAGCTTCAAAACTGAAAGGGAAAAGTATCTTTTTGTTTACTGAAATTAAGGTGAGTTTTAGGGTTAAGGTTAGGCTTAGAGGATTTTGAAGAACACTGTAAAAATGAATAGGCTTACATGTGTACGCATGACTGTGAGTGTGTGTGTAGTCGTGTTAGCTAAAAAAGGCGATACTGTAGGACTGCACAACATATAGTCTGTCCACTGTTATTGCAATACTGGTAACTGCAATACTGATAACTGCAGAAGTTCGTAACAATTAAGTAAAATTTTTGTTTCATTATGATTGTTTTGATTAGCATATTCACAACAAGATCAGAAGAGTGTTCAGTAATTATTTTGATGAATCAAGGTATTTAGAAGTTCCAACAAAGGAAAACAATCCATAATATATTGCCAACAACATATTTTAATATCACTAAGCATATCACAAAATTATAAGATGAAGTAATATAATCAAAATATGATATTTTGCCTATACTGTGCAGCTCTGCAGTACCGTCTAATCAATGCTACCAGAATATCGTCGCTATAGCAAAACCTCCAATCTCAAAACTGTACCGGAGAAGGAAAAAACTTTAAAAAAAACTTTTAACTTCCAATGTAAGTTAGTAAGTTAATGTAACAAGATTTTATTCCATGTACTTTGGACCATTTCTATTGGTCCATTCTGGATTAAATATTTATATAATGTACAGAACAGCAGGCATTTTCAGATGATTAAAAAAAAAGGACCCAAGGTTTTGTTCTGACAACAACAATATGCTCCTAAATATGAGCCTAATCTTTATGCTGCTTCTTATAATAACAAAATACTCCTCCAGAGCCTTTAGTCGGTTTCCAAGAAAGGGTTTAATTTCCATCTGATCTAAAATCAGATCAGATACAGTCAAAACTGAGCGCTTTTAATCTCCATGATCAGTCTGATACTTTGAAAGCTCTGCACAGCTAATGTACTGCATGCCTTTTGGTCTGAACTCGGCCTGTATTTCACTTCGGAGCGAGAGATGACAGGAAGCCAGGCTACAGTGGGGTTCCGGATTACTGTACCTGCTGTGGCGATTCAATCAGTGTAAAGGAGTACAAAGACAGACTTAAACAGACCAAGCAGAAATGGCAGTTGTTTTAGATGAAGCCTCCTGGAGATAAGAATCCAAAACACTCATCACAAGCTAAAGGGTAAAAACTGAAACCATACTGGGTGTGGGACCACTCAAGGGCAGCAACAGCAGACCTACTAACCAATGAATGCATATGATTACTGAGCTTAACTGATGGACTAATGGAGAGGTCCTATAAGCAAGTAGAACTAGCAGTCATTGCTAGCCATTAGCTAACAAAAATGTGAATAAATGTAATTTAATCCGAATGCTAAGACTTGTATCAAAGTCCAGAAATGTCAAGAAACTGAAGTTCCTTAACATCTTTTTACTAGTAATAGTTTCCAGCTGAATACATACTGCTCTAATACTCATACCCATGTGCATAATGTTTATTGCACTTCTTGTGAGAACAACTGCAAGACAATTCAGCTGCTGAATTGTTTCTCCTTCTTTCACCAACTGATGAGTATTGTCTAAGCAAATTTTGAAAGTTACTTTATACTTTACATTTTTAATTCCAGCTTTTTTGATCATTGTATGTCTTAAATGTCTTATTTATTTAAAACCTGTTTGTACTTCATGGATTTACATATCGCTGTTGTCTCCAAAATGCTAACATTACAGGAGAAACAAAAAACATACTTTACTTTTAATGTACGTCAATGGAACGAGAATTTTTTCCATGTCATTTTGGGCTGTTTATTTTGGTTCATTCATCATTAAATTTATCCACAGTGTAAAGGGACAATAGGCATTTTCAAATTATAACAAAAACTGAAAAATGACAAAAATGGAGATACAAGGTTTTGTTCTGACAGCAACGATATGTCTTTTATGAGTTAAGAGGTATGTGGTGTTCTTTTACTGTCTTTTCTGTTAAGAACACATTGTAGAAAGTCCCTAACCACTAAGCTGGTGTGGCAATAAAAGCGGATTAATTTCTAATGTCCACTTCTGTTTGCAACACTCAAACAATGCTTGTTAAGGTGCAAAATAAAGTAAAACACTGTTTATCTCAGTGTAAAACCTGAACTTAAACCACCTCCTGCTATATATACACTAATCTAAATCTAAATCTGTATTGTACATTTTACATTGTGTATATATTTTTATTTTATTAAATTCAGAAATAATATTTATTTAATTACATACCAGATCACATAAATTCCATGTGAAAACATGCCTGGCTAATAACAATTCTTATATTACATATATTACTTTGGATGTACAGTACCTTCTTGTGACTCTTGAGCACAGAGGGAGTGACGAAGGCTTTCTCGCACAGGTCACATTTGTATTTTTTGTGTCCATCGTGTACGACCTGAATGTGCACGTTCAGTGTGTCCTTGCGCTTAAACGTGGCGTCACACTGGTCACACTTGAATGTCCTCTCACCTGGACAGAAAGAACAGACAAGGCGCAAGGAGTCAGCGCAAAAGGACAATTTCCCCTTTTTTCCACACAAAGAGCGGGAGACTTGCTTTTGTTCTGCGTCTGAAAGCTTCGTTCAACTTCGCCGTTTGACAGGGGGTACCACTTTGTGTCCCGACCGCTTTGTGGCAGCCACTTTGCTGCCCCAAGTGTCTGTCTAGCTTTGGAAATTGTTCTATTATTGTCTTTTTTTTTTTAGACACACTATTCTTTTCAGAGTGAAGGACATGGGTGTCTGCACTCACGTCTATCATAGAGACCAATAAAAAAAGGGAATGAAAAATGGGGTGGTAAACAAATAAAGAATGAAGGGTCCATCCACCTCTGCAGAGAAGCCACAGTGCCCTTCAAAAGCCTGCTTCTCCCTCCTTTCAGTTTTATAGAATGACACACAACAATGGAGTTTTTACCGAAACGTGGATGGTGAAAAACATGCAGGCCCCTCATAAAGGTCTGCTAAAACACTGCTTTCAGTTATAAACAATAAAAACAGAGCCAATTGTTTTTAAACCTCTGTCTCAATCCTGTTTCTATGTTTCATCATAGTATATGTGGTGCAGTACAAACATATAATGTAGGAGACTCTTAAAAAGATGGTTCTTCAAGGGTTCTTTAGTGAAGGGAATGCTTCTATTTAGAACCATCAGTTCTATATAGAACCATTAAAAGGTTCTTTGCATGGTGAAATGGTTCTTAAAAGTGATGGAGAATGTGTTGTACATGGTTCTATATAGCATCAAAACGGGTTCTTCTACTGATGCAATCTCAAGCTTGTAACATTCTCCGTTAATGTGAAGAACCATTTCACCATATTTAAGCATGAAATGGTTCTATATATAACTCATGATTCTAAACAGACCATTGCCTTTACTAAAGAACCCCTGAAGAACCATCTTTTTTAAAAGTGTAGGTAAGATAAGAATAGCTAATTTTTTTTTTGAGAATAGCAGACTTACTACTAGTCTTAAATACATCTTAAACACTACAAAATACACAACCAAATAATATATTGCACTAAAAAAGCAGTCATCGGCACAGCTAATCACATAACATTCTCTTCTGTGACAAACAACACAAAGGACTAGACACTAGGGGTGTAACAATACACAAATTTCACAATACAATAGTGTTTTGGTGGATAATTGGCAAAACTTGGACTGAACATTACAAGTTATTTCATAATCTGATCCTGTGTTTCTATATAAAAACGTGGCTCTTCTGGCGGAAAAGAGTGAGATTGGAACTTCTAACAGGGCTCCATCTCTTCCAATAAACTGCAACCGAATACAGGTGGACTCCACACCCAAACAGAAGCACAAGTTGGTGGCCATTAACATCCCTATAGAGAAAGTTGTTTGTTCCACCTCTTCAGAATCCGCACTTAGCAGCTCCCTTGAAATTTTATTGCATGAAATTTAACTGTATGCGATTCACAGCACTTCCAGTCTTGCAGCCCTGTATTAAAAAATTAGTATTAACATGTGTATCATGACACCTCTACTACACAGTAGACACCAAATATTCTGTTATCTGTAAAATGTTTTCCTTCATTTATCAAGTTGTTCTGTTTGGATCTCAGACCATTTCTGAAAACCATCAGAGGCACACATCACCATCTTGGATCACTTATTACTACCGTCCAGGGTCTTGTCTCTTAGTGTAAGGCATCTGTTAATGAAACATTTCCTTCATGGCTCACATCCAATAAACTATTCAGAAACACAAAAATTTACAAATGTTTAGGTTTACAAATTACATCATATAACCAGAATGTACAAAAAACATTGTTCATTATGCTATAATTATAAATCATGGCTCCAATTAAGTAAATGAGTCTCACAATAGTGGAATAAATATATAAAAGTTTAGATCTCCAACTTTCCAATAATCCCCTTTAACAAATATTACAATGAGTCTTAATGCTGCATGTGCCGCTTTATTACACGCACCCACCTTGGTGGTGTACAGCAATCTCCGCTAGACCTCGATGGTCAGTTTCGGTTAGATGTGTTTTAGGTGGTAATCCACTCTCAACCTACAACTCTAACAACACTGCTGTGTCTTATACATTCGTACCAGTCCCACATGCACTATCATGTCATCACTGCCTAACTAATATATGGTCAACAGCAGTCCTGCATTTACTGACCAGTGATGAATGAGATGTGGCGACTGGAAAAATGGAGTATTAACAGATGGGCTACAGTCAGTAACTGTACACCTATAGAGAAGAGCTACAAAGTAGGTGGAGCTCATAAAGTGTTCAGTAAGTGGGAATAACAGGTGCTCGCATGATAGGTGCATGAATGAATGAGTGTACAACTACTTTAGGCATAGTATGGACACATACCACTTCTCCTCAGAGGGCAGTATTTCAAAGCATCCCAGCTAAAGAGTAGTTAGTACATATGCTATAGCTACACTATGGCTACTTTCTCCTGGATGCCACAGGGAGCACAAGCAAGCCTGTGAGCATCACTTCTGCATGATTTGCAGCTCTTTTCATTAAGATCTTGTCCTATTAGCTTGTGCACAAAAGCTCAATAGCCTAAGCCCCATCCACACTTATCCAAATATTTGCGAATCGGCCTCCTGTTCACACAAAAACTGCAATTAATGTAATTTTTTGTAAAAAAAAATATGTTTATCTTTTAAGGTGGCAGCACTGGTGTTTTTGCATCACACAGAGGAATACATTTCAAAGGGTGTTTTATGATTCAAAATGATTGCCAAAGTGAAATCATAAATTTAAAACATAAAATCTGTGTTTCACTGATTAGTTTGTCTGCAACACAACTGTTTATGAGGCGTATGTGAAGGCCTGACCCTGTAAGCCAGTTGACCCTGTTAAAAGAGTAAAGAGTACTTAAGTGATTCTCATAACAGCAGCTTTAACTTCATGAGAAAATACCACAACAGCTGTGTGTTATTTTCTCACAGTAAAGAGTGTGTACATCACTAACCACATACACCCACAGAGATGTCTAGTACAGCCAAGATATGTGTTCATCTTCTCACCCTCCTCCTCCTCCTACCTCCCTCCCTCATTCATGGAGAACCCCTGCATAAGTCCCAATAACCGGGTCCTGCAGTGACTGGGGAGGGCAGTGATAGGCCCCTGGGGAGGACAGCAGGAAATGCCTGCAGCTCTATAATCTCTGTGTCATCAGTCTAGACTGGGCAGAGCAGAGGCCAGCTCCATCCTGCCTGGACCAGGCGGCTCCACGTAACCCCAGAAAGCGCACGCCCCCCCCCAGCGCCCAATGCCACGGCCTGGGCCGCGGGAGAGGGCTTGCGGGTGGTTGGCTAGGTGACTACTGAAATCAGACTGGAAAATGGACTGACACAGAAAATAGAAGTGGGTGTGAGGATTAAGATCTAGTCTAATCGTGGACTACATTAAACTGTCAGAGATGATTCTTCAGTTAGTCCAAATCCCTGTTGGAGCTGGACTAGTTTATCTTGGGAGGTCCTATAGTTGATTGTAGAGTAATTTTTATCCAGTACAAATCTGCAGTGTGTCTAGTTTTTACAGTCTGACAGCAATAATTGCAGAGTTATTTTAATCCAGCATGAATCTACAGTATGTGCAGTTTCTACAATAATAATTGTGGAGTGATTTTAATCCAGTATGAATCTAAAGTATGTCTACTTTTTACAGTCTGACAGTAATAATTGTGGAGTGACATCAATCCAGTATAAATCTACAGTCTGTGCAATTGCTACAGCCTTGACAGTAATAACTGTGGAGTGAACAGACTAATTGGCTGAGCCCAGAGCTCCCTGAGTAATAGTAATCCTGTTCTGATCCACCTCACGGTAAGGAAGTAACAAAACCTGCTAGAAAACACAGCTGTGCACTGTGTTATTATTGTCATTGAATGTGGTGCAATGCTGAAGTGACCTATTAGCCCAGGCTTGATGTGGAAAGTGGGAATATGTGGGAATTTGGGGAAATTCTACATTTGTTGAGAGGTCAATCTGAAGCTCTCTGACGCTTTACATATGTAAACAAAAACACAATAACATTCTATAAAACACATTTTACACACACACACAAACATACACAATTTATGGTGAGGGACTTACTGTTGTGGATGAGGAGATGGCGCTGTAGGGAGAATGGAGTGCGGAATAGAGCCTTACACTCCTCACACTGGAATGGCCTCTCCTCTGAGTGAGTCTGTAGATGGGAAGACAGAAAAAGGGAGCACAGGGAAGAGAGAGAGAGAGAGAGAGAGAGAGAGAGAGAGAGAGAGAGAGAGAGAGAGAGAGAGAGAGAGAAGTAGTAGTAGTAGTAGTATGGTCATGATGACAATATACTACTATATAACAATAAGAATAATGTTAATAAATATCAATAATTATAGTAGTAGTATGATGTGATGTGATGGCCACATGTTTAATTGTTATTCTGTCTCCTCCTCTCTAATGCTTTGAGTACTGAGCTGTGTAGGGTTTTGGGGCACTATCGGTAGGACTAAAGGTCAAAGGTCTTTTAGGGTTAGCAGGGGTCAGGGTTCGCCAGCAGCTTTGGCTGAGGCTCCACAGTGGCTGATTGGAGTGACGATCTCCATTAAGATAAGAGGCTTAGAGATCCTGCTCCGTATTTACCCATCAATCTGTCTGTCTGACTGCATTGACCCTCTATGTCTGTCTGTTGGTCTGTCTCTCCCTCTCTCCCTCGTTCTCTCTCTCATCTTGTAGGTTTATTTATCTCTTCAGGTTGTCATTTGTATATTCAACCTTCTGTTTTCCACTCCCATTTCCATTCCTCTCCTTTATCTCCCTGTTGGAGAACTTCAGACACACACCAGTACGATCTTCTTAGTCAGAGGTCATGTGTTAGCCTAACTGGACACCTAATTATATAAAACTATTTAAAAGTAAAGGAGTAAGACCTTATTTAAATAAATAATTGTGGCCAAAAATCTTATTGAGCAGCAATGTGGTGCTAGTTTGCACATAGGTAACATATAATAGTTTCCTCTTGTTGCAACACATACCCTACAAGTTTATCTTTTGCAACAAGAACTGAATGTGTCGCATGATTTTTAACACAGTAATTCTAACAGCCTATCTATAGTTTAGGATGCAACTGTAGCAGCAATACAGTAAAGGTGCTGTATAGATACACATATATAGTAATTTTTAAACTCTCCATAAGTGGTCGCAACGATAGGCTCAAGCACCTCAATAACGATAACCACGAGACCAGATTAATGCAACATATACAGCATCTGAAGTTCTGTAGTAGCACAAGTGAGGTACCTTTTTGTGATTCTTGTAGACGTTGCGGTGGGCGAATGCTTTCCAACACAGCTTACACTTGTATGGTTTGTCTTCACTGTGAATGATCTTGTGAGCTGTAACCTGGTCCAAGCGCTTAAAGCTGCGATTGCAGATCTCACAAGTGTAGGGACGTTTCTCTGAAGAAACCATACACATCAAAACATTCAGATGTCAATTTCCATACATTCTAGACAGATAGTGTATGGCTAATTCCAGCAACACAACCACCATCTGTGCAGGTGAGGCAGTCGCAGTGGGGCCCACAGCAACCAGGCCCCTAATATATTTATTGGACCCCTTGTATAACCTATGCAATTCTACATCCACGACCCACTGGCAGATGTGAAAACTTAATAATATAAATAATATACCCCAGTCGTTAGCCTTGACTAGAAAACCAACTTGGACGAGACACAGCAATTGTGAGTAAACTAACCAGGAGCCCATAAGATCCTAGTTACACCACTGCTCATTTCCCAGCTATCTTGTATTTGTGTGTGGCCATAGGAACATGATACCTGAATGTGTGATCATATGCCGTTTCAGCTGATTGGTTGAGATGAATTTCTTGTCACAGGCAGGACAGTCAAATATCTCATGGACCTGCAGACAGACAACAGTTCACTACATCAGTCAGTCACACATTTGAGTAAAGGTCCTCATTCCAACGGTCTGCCAATCTTTCCTACTCTAACACACCTGATAAACTCAGCAAGTAGGGAACTTGCAATGCAGAGGAGCTCCAAGTGCTGTGGTTAAGACTTTCCTCACTAAAAAGTGTCAGAAAATGTACAAGGAACCAGACAAACACCTAAAAAAATACAATATCCGCAGGCTCTATGAGCTTGAGAAAACAAAAACTAGAATAAATTTCATCGAACATCGCCAAAAAATACAGCAGCATTGGAGTCTAGAGAGACATAAGTGTATAATGACTGGAGCACGTATGAGGTATTTTAATTGCAGGTTCAGGGTTGTTTCGGAGCTTCCCTTGAGTGAGATTTAGTTGCCCGTTCATAGTGTACAGCCTTGAAAATGTCCTCAGACCAATTCACCAGGGAGGACACAGAAGGACATGAAAGTGCCTCAGAGCCACACACATACACAAGCATGAACACACACAAAAACATTTCTACAGATGGAGAAATAATTCAAAATCTTAGCGGTTTCAACAGAAACTCGGCCCAAAACAATAATCCTTCAGAATGTTGATAATATGTCTGCTGAAGAACATTAACACAGGTTTCAACGGACCACACAAATTCATGAAACGACTTTCATGAATATAACTGATAAAATAAGTGATATTTTCTCAATACTAAAAGGCAAAATTAAGTAAAAACACTTTAGGTTCAAAATCAACAGATGATGATTTAAGTGGATAATAAAAAGACTGGTGGGCTTTTGTAGTCAGTAATCTGTGTCACTTTAGACTTGGGAAAATATATCTGCAATAGAGTAATATTTGTATAATGAAGTGGTTTATGTTTGAACCCTTATATGATGAATGTATTTTGGAGTTCCAGCAAAATGAAGCCACATCTAAGATTATTACAAGATTTCTTAGAGTCTCCACAATTACAGTCTGAAATATAATACTTTCAAAAAATACTACATTTCTTGAGCTCTATTCTTCACTCTAATGAGGGCTTTTTGAATTAGTGGGCAAACAAAGAGGACAAAAGACAGTTAAAGCTTGTCAAAACTTCACAAGCTTTAACTGTTAACTTTTAAGTGCATTAACATATTGCTATTTTGCAATTTATAAGACTGCACCATCTTTTTGTGTGATAACAAAAACAGGTTTTATAGCCATAATAGGCTTTCTACTCCTTTAGCATATTGTTTCAGTGCTAAAACAATGTCTCTTGATGTTAAAACCCAGAAATTAAAGTCTTTTTGAGGGTGCACAGTCCACCGTCAGCTTCTCCTGTTTTTGCTCCACTTTTCACCCTCCTGTTCAGGACTCTGCTAGAGCTTTGCTGAAATAGCAGCACTCTAATCTCTCCTCCCGGCTGAGGATGTGGGCCTAAACCCATCTGAGAAGCGAAAAGACTTGCTAGACAGCTTTAGCCAGCCCCATTGAAATTAGCTTTCATATGTAGACATGCATTTCACTCAGTTAAAGCCACATGGAGGCTGTGAAAACTGCAGTGAGCGGAAGAGGTGACAGAAATAGGACTGATCAGAACTCTATTAAGTGGACAAAAACGGAATGAAAATCTTTAGGCCTCCGAGCACAAAGAGATGCTCTACATTCAGCAATTTCTAATTAAATTCATGACGTTTGCCAATGGATTTTGCCAATGAAGCTGTCGACTGAACACACTCTAAACTTTTGCTTAAGATCCAATAATAAATGTTATATCTCCTTCTCCAAGGCCCTGTTCACACATGGCACGAACGTCCATGCTGAGTGATATGATCACAAGTGGAAAGTGAGACATAAAGCCATTCTGACCTGACATTTTCATGTGTCTCGAAAAGGACGCAGCCACTGAGTGATGGTTTTCTGAGCATATGTGAACATGACAAACGAACTCCGACGCCTCTAAAAGACCCCAAAAATGAACTGAACTCGGACCACCTCTCAGTGGTCTCAGTTTAGTCCGTTTGCAGTTCGTTTTGTGGTCTGATTTGGGCACTGTGAAAAAAAATGGCCCCAGTCCACTTTTGGACCACAAGGCATACCGTACGCACTCAGCCAAAATCTTCTAGCACTTTAGTGGGAAAACCAAGACCACCAAGTATCATTTATAGGGTACTACCCGGGATAAAGCCTGCCAGTGATGTTGTGACAAGACAGCAGCACTGACATATTAAAGCAAAAATATGTGAGAGCCTGTGTGATTTTACCGTGTGTAAAGGCCAATACTGGCAGACACAACACAGAGTTTTAAGCTGCTTTCACACTGAACCCTGAATGAATGAAAATTCACATCCGCTCTTTTAAATACATTATTTTTTTATTGCACATATGGATTTTCGCCAGGTGAAGCTCAGTGATGAGCACAGCAAAAAACAGAACTTGAGGCAGCAGACATGCATTTTTCCAATTTTGTGTGATGCGCTTCAGCCAGTCACCTTAGCTCGGCCAATAGCAGAGCAGCAGGCATGTCTGGTACTTCTCTGGTACTTACCACCCGAAAGGCTAGTTTTATCAGAGAACACTGCCTGAGTGGTGTGAAAAGGATCTGAGCTCTAGAGGAGTTGTGGTCTGAACAAGAACTGGTCTGAGATCTCATTAATGCTAAAAAAAGACCAGAGAGAAAACTGAGTCCACTTTATAGTTCACTTACATTGTGAGCATTAAAAGCACTGAGGTCATTTGCAGTTCGTTCTGCTATGCAGCTCCATTAACCTCTGCTGTCAAGACGCAGTTAACCAGACAGTCCTTCATTGAGGTCTGGGACACATTGATACGCTTTAGTGTTCACACAACATGCGTTATGTGGTCATATATGCACCTGACCACTTCTGAAGGTGACTGGAGAGACTGAAGACACACTGGAGCCCATTTACTCCTGTACTTAGTACTGACCACTTATAATTAGATCACCCAAGACGTATGCTAATGTCAGGCGTGAACAGGGCTCTAGAACAGAGCTCCTGCAATAAACTAATCAAGTGAAATGCACAAAAGGAAAACCTGAACAATTTATTTAAAGGTGCACTATGCAGTTCTGCAGAACGACCGCTGATATTTGAACTCAACAGCAAAACAAACACAGCCCTCACTTCAGTTCTCCTTGAGAAGCTCTGCCCCCAAATTCATCAACATGCACTGTGGAGGCTAACACGCTTTTTCAGATTTTTGTGGCCATAAAACCCTTTGCAAATGTTGTACAGACAAATACCATGACATAATGTTATGACACAATAAGAAATGTGACAAACATTAGCTAGGATGTGGGTTAGCACCCTGTCGCTGCAGTTGTTGCTGTGAAGCTAACCAGTTGCTATCACAAACATTCGCAAACAGGACAAAACAACACTGACCTATTAATTCTGTGAAACAGCAAAAATGAGTCAATCTTGCCTGCCTGTCCAGCAGAGGGAACATCTACATCCCTTTCCATGCATTTCAACAGTCAATAAAGCTGAAGTCAGCTTCTTGTTTGAATTTGCCCGTTTCCACCTTAAAAGGTACAGCAGTTAACACTACATCCTGGTGCCTCAGCTTCTTGTTTGAATTTTCCCATTTCACCTTAAACTGTGCACGCACGCTATGCGGGTGGTCACTGTCTGGGGAGGGCAAAACAAAACGTAGGGAGGGCTAACGTTTTCACAGGGCGGGACTAACGTGCACACGCGGCCGGACCAGCTATGAAAACAAAAAACAGAGAAGCTCAATATGGAACACACAGAGGGGGTGTGACTTCATTCTCTGCTTAGGACATCGTTACTTCGCTGTATCTTCAAAAAGACAATAGTTATTTGCTGCTATATTAATGTTTAAAATGTCATATACATCATCTTTAAACAATCAAGGTCACAGACTAAAAGATCATCTCGGGAGGATTACAGGATTCATATATATTTTTGGGATGTCTTACCTGAATGGCCTGTGACTGAAGTCAGTACAATGACATATGGACTGTGTGTTCAAGCCACTCTGTTGTTAACTCAGAGCAACAGTCAGAATCAATAGAGGAACACCTGCATTGACCTCGTACAGTAAAGTTACTGGAATGTGAAATGTACCGATTGGACCACATTTTAGCAAGCTTTTACGAAGAAATCTGAATGATTCCAAGGATTTCAAAAAACGTCTCACAACTGTATGTTTCTCACCCCAAAGCTTGCGCCTGATTAGTCTGAATGAGTCACTCCATCTAAACTTCTCTGAGCAACATTCAGTGCCAAATTATGCACGTTGGACAGATCAAGGGCACAGCTCATCTTATAGAGAGTCTTTCAGAAGGTAACTCTAATAATGCTGAGTTATGTTGTCCCTGTCATCAGGAGAAGACTCTGGAGCAGACTAATGTCGATCAGAGCAAGTTAATTCTCCCCTGGGTAAAGAAGCAGCAGACGGGATCTGGTCATTTAGGGTGAGCTATGGGACGAATGTTACAGGGCTGTCTCAATGGAGGAAGACAAACCACTAGGCCACAACGAGATGTGTTCCAGCACAGCATGCATGTGGTAAACTCATTTAGGCTTCAGATGAATTAGGATGACTGTAAAGGAGAACGAATCTGTTCTCAGAAACGCATTGTTTGGATAAACCGCTGCTGACGAGGCTGCACTCCGCTGCTATATATCAGCATAAAGCAGGCTGAGCTGTGGGAGAATTCAGCAGCTTGTGATAGTGTATCCTGTAATGGGGAAACATCATGCCCTTAAGGAACTGATTCTCTGTTTTGCCAAAGATGCACAACAAGCTATTTTATATCATGTGTTTTTAGCTGACTACTGTCACAGCAGTACTACTAAAACTACTACAGTCAGGTACAAAATACACTTAAAAATGCATGTGTGAAAGGGGCTTAATCATATTAAGCATCTCAACCTAAACATGCTGGTTTAGCACTAAGTTCTATCTATTTATGTGTACTAAACCAAGAATAAATGTTTTAATGTCTGAATTTATTCGCATGCTTTTCAAGTAGATTTATTCAAATATATGTATAACTGATATCTTGCGCACCAAACACAATTTTTTGATAGCCAAGTATTATTACATTACTTTATGTGTTTCCTGTTAATTTTTTGCATTGTTGACCAAACCTTGTTTTGTTTGGCATGACGGCAGCCAAAAGCAACTCAAATGGACGACTAAAAGCAGGGGCGAAATTATAAAGTTTCAGTTCTCAAACAAGGCTGTGAAATAGTCCTGCCCTTTGGCATTTCCAGAGCAGGATGTTTTCCACTTTTCTGTGGGAAGCAAAATGTGAAAATGTTTTACCGTGAAGAATACATTTTGTCCATTTTGCTTGTGGTTGTTCATTGTGGATGATGGGCATGGTTTTGAGGAAAAAAACAAATCTGTGTTGTTTATTCCTGATTTCGGTGCGTAAAGGCCTTAAGACTTGGTCTATGGTCTTATTCAAAAGCAGGTTTGGTCTCAGCCTGCATTGTGGGAACTACGTAAGACTTTTCGGAGGCAGCAGAAATCCTGACGCCAGGGCTAACAGCCGATAGTCTGCTCTCTTTGACTCTTAGATTTCATAGGGGCCGTGGGGATGAGCTTGTGAAACAAAAGACGACCTTTTCTTCACGCGCTTGCACCAGTGGAAAAAAGTTACAACGTCAACACAAACCTCGCCTCCTAGAGAGAGAGGCAGAAGCAGATAGTGTGAGAGAGTGAGAGAGACATACAGAGAGAGAGACAGAGAGAGAGACAGAGAGTGACTGTCGAAGTCCAAGAGAAATGCTGGGAGGGATAAATATATTTGGAAAGCTGGAATGTGAGACAGTGAAAATCATAAGCCTGACAGAGAAGAGAAGAATAGGAGACGGGCATGAAAACACAAGAGAGACACAAGAGATAGATTGATGGAGTGAGTAGAAAGAAAAATGAAGAGCGAGGCGGAGAGATGAGCACAGGGAAAGGAAATGGAGATAGGTGATAGAGGGAATAGAAGAAGAGAGAGATGGATGGAGACAGGAGGGGGAGGAGATGTATCTGACCTTGCGATGCTCCTGCAGGTTGACTGAGGATGAGCATTTCTTATTGCAGATGGTGCATATGAGCTTCCTGCGAGCACTACCTGCAGAAGTGTACACATACATAATACACACACTTAAAAACACACAATTAGAGGTCAGTGTGCAACACAGTACAGAACCCAGAAACCCTGCAGTAATGTACTGTACTCCTTAAATACAGCAGTGTCAACAGTGCATTCTAGGAGTCGAGTCTAGGTTTAAATAGTTGTATTTAGCTGAAATGCAACTGTATGTAATGTTTCCCTGAAACCTTTGTCAGCAGTAAGATAACTACAGAAGACTACTGTATTACGTAACTGCAGTATTGTTCTGAAAACAGAAATTACAGTACAGTGCAACAACATCTTACTGTAAAAACAGTTAAATTCTGTTAATTTAAAAAACACAGTCACAACCTGTATTTCTGGTTTATAGAAATGCACAGTAACTGCAGTTCAGTACTGTGAACAAACTATGGTTAAATATGACCAGTTAGGTCAGTTAAAAGACAGAAAAATGCCACAAACATTTAGCAGGGGTCAAAGGTCCATCACTAACTGTTTTTCCTCAGTTAAAGAGCTGGAAGTGAAAAAGTGCGTCATCAATAACAAGATCTTTATTTCTTTTACTTCTGCCTCCTCTGTGCTACACTAATATTTTTAAAGGCTATAAAATGTCCTATTAAATGGTTGCAGGAGACCAGTTTAATACTCTGACACACATGCATACGTGTGTGGTCCTCACTACGTCCAAAGGCACTCCCCAGCAGTAGTTCTATTAAGGGATTTGTGTAAATTGATTCCGTTCCTATTCAAGTGTGCATTAACAGCATGACTAATTTGCTTTGATATTACCACATCATTAAAAAACAACTATAGTATCACTAAACTGCTGATTCAGGGCCCTTTGATTAGACTCAGGTTCTTCGATCAAGACCCTCTCTTCAGTTCAAGCTGTTTTAAATTACTCTATTAACACAGATATTTCTATTTAACTTTGACAAACAATAAAAAGAGGACGAGAGAGAGAGAGGCAGCTCACAGAGAATACATGAAAGAGAGAGAGGGAAACAGACAGAGGGACTAAGAGGACTTCTAGCATTTATTGCCTGCACTAAAGCAAGGCAGAACAGCTCTCTGTTGAAGCTGAATGGACAGATTAGCATGGCTGTTTGGGAGAATTGAGATTAGCTGTCATATGCTATGGGTAATTAGAGAGTGAGGGAAGCGCACGCACACAGAGCAAAGACACTTGTGAGGGCTAAATGCTGCTACAGGGAAACAAATGCCATAAGCTATAAGTTTGTGTGTGTGAGTGAGTGTACCTGTGTGAACGTTGCCTTTGTGTTTTTTCAGAGCATCTTTGCTCTTGAATCTCTTCCCACAGCTCTCTGCCTTACAGATGAATCTGGCATCTCCTTTACATGCTTCCTTGTGCTGCTCAAAGCTACACACGCAAAACCATACAGACACATGAAGACACAGGTACAGTCGTTCGCAAATGTTTGAACACCCCCAGTCAAATGGAATGTTTTGTCTACATTCTAAGTGAAAATAAGTTACAGAGACTTAAATATAATCATTTTCCACAAATGTTACTGCACAATTTCTATTCATTTGCTGAGTGTAACATATTGTAAAATCCATATAATTAATTCATTAACCAAATAAAAAAGGCTACAATTTATGTTTTATTTTTTCTCAACATGTTAAAGTCAGCAAATAAAGAGTCACTGTGCATTAAAAACGTGCAAAAGTGTGTTCTCCGTAGAAGATGTGTTAACTTATATTCACCTAAAAAATCAGCAAAACATGTAATTTGCCCAGAGCCGCTTAAACGTCTGCATAGGACATGACGTATATGTGACAACTGACAAAAAGCACTGTTTTAACCATGAAGTCTGATTGATGATGATAATATTGGCTTGAACTGATATCTCCTCAAAATCAGTATTCGTGATCAAATGTTCCACTCTGGTCAAACCTGAACATACACGCATACAATGTACGCGTATAATTAAAAAGAAAAATATATATATATAATATAGTTGTGTGCACATGTGTGTACCTAGACTCAGAGGAGAATGAGCTGTGGCAGAGAGAACACTGGTGAACTTTAGAAGCATCTCCTGTCGAAGTCGGACTCTCTGTGCAGTGGAGAACGCTATAAAACACAAAGACATTCATATAACTTACTCCCTACTGTGAGTCTCAATCATCTCAAATTATTGTAGAAATAAAGAACAGAACTAGTAAAGGGTGTAAATCTGAAAATCCTTTTTAGTGGTATCAGTGATGTGTGAGCTGGTCTTTAATGATGTAGTTTTGTGTGTGTACTCACTGGCGCTGGAGTGCTTGTTTGATGGGGAACTCTTTGCCACAGTTGCGGCACTTGAACTCCTTTTCCTCTGCACTGCCCCTTTGGTGCAGACTCTGCAGGTGCTCAGCCAGAACTTCCTCACTGGGGAAACTGCTCTCACACAGCAGGCACGGGTGATCCTCCTTCTTTATTACTGCCTCTATACACGCACACACACAAGTTACAAATAATTATTAAAATAATTACCTGAAATAATACTCTCGTGTGCAATACCATAGCTGCTACGTTTATTTATATCGACCCTTTTTATTTTACGTATTTTACATTTTTATAATTTTATTTTTAAATTATTTCAGTTTTATTTTTTATTTTTACTTTTCTATCATTTTAAATGATACAGTCTTTCCTTTAATATCTTGCATTTATATTTTATATTAGCCTATATTTTTGCTTTATTCCTAGTTTAAACTGGGGTAAACACTGTGTAGCGGCTTAAGTTGGACAAGTCAGGAGGATGCTCTGTACCCTTTAAATTTCTGGATGTATAACACTGGCTGTGTGTGGACTCAGATTCAGCGTCCACACAAAAACTAAATGTTGTTTATTCCATCGCCGCAGTACGGTATGCTGTGATATGCTGTTGTTGCTGCTGGTGGTGGCAGAATTTTCCATCATTGCTCCATTGAAAACAATGGAATGTCTAGTTTACCAGCGACTGACTACCACCAACACATAAACGCAGCATCAGTGTATAAACACACTGTCTAGTCCAAAGACAAACATACTGACATACACAATCAGGTTTGTTATCCTGGTGAAAAAACACAAAAATGCCCACAAACCAGGCTCCGTGCTGAGGAGCTTGGCCTCTTTGCTGTTCTCGTCTTCATCTTTGATGATCTCATCTTCTTCCTCATCCTCCTCTTCCTCCTCCATGTCACTATCCAGATAGCCAATCAGGAGCTCCGTATCTGTCTCGATGTCGTCCACAGCCAGATAAAAGATGTTCTCCCCATCCTAACAAACAACAAACATGCATTACATAACTAACCGAGACCTTGGACTTCATCATGGTATATAAAAGAACAAAAATAAGAAGGTTAAATACAAAAACCTTGTTTTTATTAATTTCTCTTGCAGGTCTGTTATTAACATGATAAAGACAAAAGGCCTTTTAAACTGCATTCCAACTTACTGTCTTGGAATAAAATGGTCAGTAGGTTTTGATAAGTTTGGCAAGTGAAAACAAGGAAGGTATGCAGCAACAGAGGAAACGTTTTGCATTCCATCAGTGTAGCGTACATCTAAGCTAAACATGAGAAGAGTATTGGGTGGAATCCTCCTCTATGACCGGGCCCTGATCTTTCCTACAGCAATACTAACCACAGCGCTTACTATTCAAATGAAGACACAAATGAAGATAACCACACACACATTCGATCAAAAGCAGAAATGAGAACATAATTATAATAATTATCAAACCCATCTGTTCCTGTGACTGTGGTTCTACATTTCAAAGTGATACTGTGCAGACAAGATGACAGAGGAACAGCTAATGAAACACACACAGAGAGAGAAGGAAAGCAGCTCATCCGTTTCTCTTGATTAAGGTCAGAGGTCAAGCTCTGGGAAATCCTAAATTTGCCATTATCAAATCTCCATCTCCGAAAAGGTCAAGCAGTCACCACAAAACACTCATCTTTCTTTATTCTTTCTGTCAGCACTTTAATGTTAATGACAAAACTGAGGCATGTTACTGCAGACTGCTCTTTTAGACTGAAAGCAGAAAACAACTCATGACGTCATGACGTGTGTGTGTGTGTGTGTGTGTGTGTGTGTGTGTGTGTGTGTGTGTGTGAGTGAGGGAGAGGAAGAGAGAGAGACAGAGGGAGGGAGAGAGAGAGAGAGGGAGAGAGAAGGAAAAGAAAGAAAAAAATAATTTAGAGGGAAAGAAAGAAAGAAAGAAAGAGAGAAAGAAAGAAAGAAAGAAACCGAGGGAAAGGGGAAAAGAGAGAAAACTTAAAGAGAAACAGAAAGAAAGAAGATGAAAGAGAAAATTGGGATGATGATGGGAGGGATGATGGATGTGGCGGGAGAAAGAAAGAGGGACAGAGAGTGAGAGAGAAAGATAGAAAAAGAAGGCGAGAGAAAGAAAGGGAAAGGAGAGAAAGATGAGAGACCGTAAGAAATAGGGGGAAGAAGAGAAAGACAGAAAGAAAGATGGGGAGGGAGAAAGACAGAGAACAAAATGGAGAAAAAGAGAATAAATATCAAGAGGCAGAAAGAAAGAGAAGGAGAGAGACAGACGAAGGGAGAGAGACAGACAAGAGAGAGAGAGAGAGACAGACGAAGGGAGTGAGAGGGACAGACAAAAAGAAGGAGAGAGAAAAAGATGGAGTGAGAAAGAGGTGAAGGAAGAGAGAGAGAAAAAGAAAAATATAGAGAAAACAAAAGAAAAAGACAGGGAGAGAGAGGAGGAGGAAAGAGAGATGGGGAGAAAGACGAAAGAAGAGAGAAAGATTAAATATAGAGATAAAAGAGAGGGAGAGAGAGACAGATGGAAAGATAGAGAGAGAGAGAGAGAGAGAGAGAGAGAGAGGGGGAAATGACAGAAAGAGAGAAAAATAAATATAGAGAGAAACAGAAAGAAAAAGAGAGGGGAAGAGAGAGAGAGAGAAGGAAAGTTAAAGACGGGGAGAAAAAGAGAGAGAATGAAGCACGAGAGAGAGAATAAGTAGAGATATAAAGAAAGAGGGGGAGAAAGAGAGATGGAGGGAGAGAGTTAAAGAGAGGAAGAGAGAAAGGAAAGAAACAGAGAGAAAAAATAAGTATAGAGAGAAACAGAAAGACAGAGAGGGAAAAGAGAGATAGAGAGGGGTAGAGAGAGCAAAAGAGAGAGAGAGAGAGGGAGAGAGAGAGAGAAAGAGAGATGAAAGGTGTTGTGTGTGTTGGTGTGTGCAGGCATGTGCGTCTCTCTCCTCTTATCTCAGTCCAGGCCTCATTACACCTCCTTATCACAGACACCTTCAAAGCTCTCTGTCACACACACACAGTTCTTTACATCAACACACTGCTACAGCAGACATAACAAACACACTCGCTCTCTCCTGCTCTCTTTTCTCCTCTGCGCTGTCTCTGCCTGTCTCTCTCTTTTCTCAGGAACTGCTGCCCCTTTTCCTTCTTACTCCCAGACAAACACTAACTAAGACTCAGGAGGATCAAAATGAAAAAGTGGAAACACTTACAGTGAAAGCTGTGCTTTTACCAAACTATGAACACATTAATGACGTTCACAAGGCACCAAAACGCTCCATCCAACTGACATGCTGCACGTGAAACGCAGCCCATACACACAGCTCTGTGTACGCACAACTACCAACACACGGCGCCCGAGTACCGAACAAAAACGCTGAGAAACTGTGTTACAGCAACTTTGCTAACTTGTATCGCTCTGTGCAATGAAATCAAAACCAGCATTAAAACCCCTTTCTGTGTAGGGGCCGTACACTCTTAAAGATGGTTCTTCAAGGGTTCTTTAGTCAAGAAAATTGTTCTATACAGAACCTTGAACACTCAAAGACTCCTCTGCATGATTAAAGGGTTCTTTGCATCATAAAAGGGTTCTTCAGATGTGCTGGAGATGGTTCTATATAGTCACATTGTGCGGCTAAGCAACAGAAGCATCGTAGCTGTCAATCAGCTGTGTTAGACAGCTATCGTTTCAATATGTACAGGCAGAAACGTCTGGCCTTTTTCCTTGCGATCGCCAGCAAGTGTGGTGCTGCTAGCAGAACAAGCTACACTAAAAAAAAGTATTTTTGTATATGCTGTGATAATTTTGATCTGTAAAATTTTCCAGATACTCAGTGTCTGCAACCGTCACTGAAGACCCACCTTCCTTTTGAACCCACCCCCAACCACCCGCCACCTTAGCCAGTTTGCATTGTAGTCCAGTCCATGTAGGTACTAAATAATATAATAATGCAATAAGCCTGGTATTTTAAGATGTTAACCACTTATGAATTATTCTTGTTGGGAATGGAATAATGACGTATTCAAACAGAATTCAAATTTTCCCATCATTACGGATACAGATTAAAATTGATAGTAATATTATAATATATAAATTGTATTTGTGAGCTACAAGTAAAGTGAAGCGTATTTTAGACGAAAATACAATTTGTATTTCCAGTATTTCATTTCCTGCCATGTCATGAATGTGTTTGTAGTTTCTCACAGATATATCACTCATAGAAAGCGTTACCAAAAAAAAAGTCCTCATTAAGTGCTTCTCACCAAATTATACAATATACAAATACATGAATTCCACTCAACCACACACTCAGCTCAGGCATTTCAACACTTTCACTCTGTTTTTTCTACCTCACTTATTCACCCTGCCTATTTTCCATATTTGTCTTACATGCAAAGTCCTCTATACTTATCAGACTTCTCAGAGTCAGAAAACTGGCCTGGGATCAGAGTCTGTTCTTTCTGCCGTAGTAAACACAAAAACACGAACTAAAGCAGACCCTGATCCTAGACCAGTGCTCTGTACGACTGTTGATAAATATGGGTCCTGGACTGTATCAGCAGGATCAGTCTGGCTCTATGTTTTCAGTAGAGATAAGGTTTTCAGTAGGATAAGGTATTGGAGAACTACTGTCTTCCAGCTCTGCTCATCTCGGCTCTCATACCTGGATGGCAGCCAGGTTCTTCTGCTCCTGAGATGGGGCCTGGTGCACGAAGCGGAGCCAGTTCGCGTGCCGGGGGTTGCTGGCGTCCAGTATGTACAGCACGTCGCCTCTGTTCCCTCGAACCTGCACCACACAGACAGAAAGATGCTTAGCACTGCTAATCAAAATACAGAAGAACTCAAATTTTATTTTCAACTTAGCTATATATATGGACTGTTTGTGCTGGGGAGTGAATGGTATGTCCTTTATGCTAACACAAAATTCTTACTTCAAAAAAGTAAAGAAAAAATTTCCATGATATGGTCCCTTTGAAATTAAATGACCTCGTCTTTATTAATATGCTTAATTTAGAGTAGGTGGATGAATAACCCCACTGTGAGAAAAACCTATAGTACTAACAGCCATTCTAAATTCTGTTCAAAAAGAGTAAATAAATTACTGTGACCGAAACGTCCAAATACATACTGAGAGGCGCATTTAGTCAAAAGAGCTATGAAAAAAGCTGCAGCTGTAGGAATTTGAACTGAGGGAAGGAGAACGGATTCTCAAAGCAGGTGTAATAAAGGATACAAGTCTTCAGTGGCCAAAAGTAAGGATGGGCATTTCAGTCAAATCTGGCACTATATATGAAATTAAATCTGGCACTATATATAAAAATAAATATGATGCTATATTTGAAAAATATGAAGATACCATCTTAGTATTGCAATTTTTTGGGTAAGAGGCTACAGGCTACTGTACACTGGACACATCCTTTGGCCGCCACTAGACACAGTATCTTACAGTTACTGTACTATATTAAATCCACATGCCACAAATCCATTGTAGGTGACGTGAAAAAAAATATCCATGGCCCTCTTCATTGAGTTAAAAAGTTTTTAACCGCATGGCTATGTACACAAAATCTCTCAACACTTTGAGAGTTTCTCTCCTTGATGAAGACTTTTTGTGACTTTTTGTGGGAGATTTTGTGTCCATAGCCAAGCTACACTACAAACTTTTCAAAGAGTTCCACGGATATTCCTTTTTACTCGAGCTTTTAAACCTCACTCCATAGAGCACTTTTGATATTTGAGTGTTTATTTCCCTACCAGTAGCACTCTCTCTTCTGTCTGCTTTTGCCTCAGCTAATGCTACTGCTCCAGATACATCATTTCACTTCACACCTTTTGCCTCAAAAACAGGGAGTCTGCGAAGAGTCAGTTCACTGATACCAAACATGATAAATGTTTACTTGTTGAATTACATGAAAACTTCATCAAATTCCATGAAAATTCTTCTGGAACTGTGATTGGTGAAAATGCTGAGAGCATACTGTAAAAAAAAAAAAACCACTGTGATTTGTGAAGCTGCTTTGCAAATGCAATTGGCATTTGCAATGCAATTGCTGCATTGGCCTTTGCAGTACTGTCATATCAGTACTGCAAAGGCCAATATTACAAACTATATACTGTGCAGCCCTAACGCCACATAAGCAACAGATGCCTTTACCATACTAACCATTCTTATTTATCAGCCTCATCACAAACTTTTTCTCTAAAAACAGAAAAAAATATCTCAAAGGTTTCTTGGACCCAAACTCGCAATACACCAGCCTTCACTTCTGTTATCACTGCATCCATAGCAACCCATGTACAGTAGCACACAGCAACACTAAGACATTTAACAATACATAACATATCATTCAGCAGCTGCTTCTGACAAGCTAAGCAAAGCTCTTCCAGCTTCTGTTTTTGGATACAAATGATTATTTTGCACAACTATCCCCGCTTTAATGGACTGAAATGATGGCTAATGATGTCTCGCTCTCACAAACTATGAAATGACGGTCTCTCTTAATTGCACAGCTGCAGTGAAACCATCGAGCACATGAAAGACAGTACTGCAAAAGATTACATGCCATGGCTATATATCAGAGTAATCACACACAGCACTGTAATTTAAGATTTAAACGTACTGCACGCACTGCATCGGAGTGTCATTCAGACAGGCAGATGTATAAATCACTGAGTAATGTGGCTAAGCCCGGTATGATCTAGACTCTAATTAAAACGTCACATAGCTGAAAATAAAACCTGAATCTCGCAGGGCAAATATCGGATGGCATCTTAGAGACAGCGTGCATAGGACAGAGGGGTTGTGTGCTATGCGCCCATGGAACTGCTTGGCAAGCAGAGCCATTATTACAGAGATGATGGAGGCCAACAGGCATGGCTTAAGGAACCTGGTCTACATGCCTGCTCTGATTACCCATCGCCCAGAAAAACCCAGTCAAGCGTCTCTGCACCCCTGTATTGTGCTGGCACAGTTTATGAGTGCGAGGCCAGTTTCAAATATCTATATTTTAGCGATGCTATTCTAGTCTGCACATACAGGGATGAACTGGGGATCAGACATACAGGGCACAGGGTGTACAAAAAAACAGAAATACTACATGAAATATTCATTCTCATTGGCCATTTCATCAGAAACACCTACTATATTGGTACATTGTGTAGGTTTAGTTACAAACTGTAAAATATTCATTCATCCCAACGTTCAAAGAACATCTCAGACAGATCAGGATGCTCATAATAAAACATTCACTGGTTAGAGGTTGCATTTTGCAGACTTCTGCGACATCAGCACTGCAAACGGCAACACCAGGATAATCATTAAGGAATGATGTACTGAGCAGACCCAATGTATGTTTAGAGATATTAATTAACAAGAGGAGATAATATATAAAGTACCAAAACACGTGCACCTACTGGGTATTTGGATTTTTGTAAGGATATCTGTAAGCAGGACAATGAACTGCATGGCACTTGCACTCTACCAAAGCAATTATGCAACATGAATGTGCTTAAACTATTTCTGTTTAAGTTCAAATGAGACAGGCTAATTTAGGATAATAGTGCTGTTTCCATTCTTACAAAATCTGAAATTACATGAGCAGATATACAGAATGCTAACTGGCTCCTTATAAAGCCCTTAGACTGAAAAAAACAACTGTAAATAAAGTTTTATGATAATTGAGCTCAAACAGTGGAAAGTGCATACATTTTCTCCTTCACAGAAAAGCTGCTGTTCTGGAGATGAGTGGTTTTCCTGCTACAGCAACGACATGTACTATAAATAATAATCTGAATGTAAATCTTCAGTAAGCATGCTTTTCCACTGACAAACGCTCCAAAGCATGGGCTCTGGTGTTATTTGATGGGATGTCGTTCTGAGTCCACCCACCTCCCACATCAGCCTTGGGTCCATGCTCTCATCCAAATCACTGGGCATTCTCTTCTCCCCAGCAAACGGACCAAACTTCTCTCCCTGAAACACAAGAGCGTGATGGTAATTACTCATGAAGGGCACTGCTGCCTGGGATTTAAGTGTTTGTGGAATTTCAAACATAAAAGTATTGCTTGTTATATCAATGAAAGTGAAGACATATTGAGGGATGTAAAGCCTAAAACGTGTCAATGGAAAACCTTACGCTTGTTTCTCAGCTGAACACAAGGGCCTGAAATGGGTTTCTTATTCACCAGCTTCTTATTCGAATTTTCCGCTCCATATTAAAGGGGAATTCAAATGATTTTTCAAAATTTCTCAACAGTTCAGTCCATGAGGTGTAAACATAGTCATTCAGAGTGGTTTGGTGGGAAACGGTTCATTGTAAAGACTCAGATCTCATTACAGAGGTGGCGATAGAAACCAGGGGTCACAAAGTCTACAACACAAACACAGCCATTTTATTTACCATCCAAAACCACCAGTGAATCTACACATCTTCTGAATTGTTATATTCAATGTTGATGATGATAAAATGGTGATAAATCTGAAAATAATACATTTTCTTTGAGAACTATTTGCCTCACAACACCATAAAGAATTGGCTTAAAATTCATGTGAATCCATTTATTTTAATCCATTTATGGCGGATGGGGGTACCCATCCGCCATAAATGGATTAAAATAAATGGATTCACATGAATTTTAAGCCAATTCTTTATCACAACACTATCATAAAACAATGTCTCAGACATCAGGCAGCAGATATCTAACCATTCCATGCAACAACTTTCTATGAGGGAGCTTTTAGAGGTGGATGTCTGGTTCCTATCACCACCACTGTGAACAATTTTGACTGAAGGTGGATGTCTGGTTCCTATCACCACCACTGTGAACAACTCTGACTATGTAAGTTTCTCTAGAATGGAGCCACTCTGAATAACTTTGTTTACATCTTAACCACTTATTTATGTAGAATTTTGGAAAAATTGGTGGAGTTCCCCTTTAATTGGTGCAGCAGCTAGCTACATTACGAACGCCAGAATGTAACTGCTGTGCGATTTAAGGTGGAGCGGAAAATTCGAATAAGAAACTGGCGAAGACGGAGCCACTCTTAGCCTATGGTGAACACCTAGGTCAGTGTTTGGGCCACTGTACTGCTGCTGCCCCTCACAGGTATCGTTTTCAGCTGTTTTATTCGCTGTCCGGCCTCCTTAAAATGTAGAGTTGTGGTCGACGCGACGAGTGACTCCTGCGTTAAGTCTGTGAAAGTGTGTAGTGGAAAAGGCACACGACTGTCAGAGGGGCACGGAGGCCACCTCTTAGCTAACTAGGTTAGCAAGCGGCAAGGGAAGAAATCTCAGCCAGGGTTACCGTCCGCTATAACCATATACGTGGCACTTCACGTCAGCGGTCACTGAGAAAATGCAGTAACTTGGCTTGAAGGCTGAGTAAAAGCCGACATGATACAAATAAATGCACCGACGGAACGGTTCTGGTCCTCCCAGCTGTCTAGCACTGCGACCTGTGTCGATGTGGGTTTTGTCGTTGGTTTTTTTTTTCTCTGTCTAAAATGAACAAACCTTCTTCACTCGCCTCGCAGTGTAAAGCCCGACTCCGTCTTGAACTTTGGAAGACTTCAGAGCGAATCTGTCTGGCACGTACATGCCCAGCATTGTCATTACTTTCAGACGAAGACCTGACGGGAGGAGAAACTGTGAAACGAGCGGAGGGCGAGCGGGGGTTTCGGCGGTTTTCACGCAGAAACGGAGCCCGTTTTCTGCCAACCGTCAACCTCAGAATCCCGACGCAGCTCGAGCTTCCATGTTGCTCCAGTTGTGAGGGGAGAGCGCGCTGTGATTGGTGGGAAGTTTGCGCTCAGGGTGCCGCGATTGGTGGGAAGTTTGCGCTCCGGGCGCTGTGATTGGTGGGAAGTTTGTAACCAGGGGCTACGCATTCTTCAGTGAGGCGGGACTGAAGATGCGCTTATGAGGCACTGAGAACTTCTGGCATCATGTGTTGACTTTCAGTCTCACCTTTGCTCGTTTATATGCGCTTATATACAACTTTGCATTAGGAATTATCTGAGCATTTCACACCTATTCTCGAGGATTTTTTAAGGAGAGGTCTCAAATTGATATACTGAATTGTGTTTTCAGTATTGAGGCCCCAGTTTACTATATTAAGGTTATGAATTACTATATTGAGGCCACAAATTACTATATTGAGGCCACAATTTGCTATACTGAGGCCACAAATTGCTAGATTAAAACCATGAATTACTCTATTGAGGCCCCAATTTACTGTATTAAGGTTATGAATTACTATGTTGAGGCCACAAATTACTATATTGAGGCCCAAATTTACTATATTAAGGTTATGAATGACTATATTGAGGCCACAGGCTACTATATTGATGCCACAATTTACTATTCTGAGGCCACAAATTACTATACTGAGGCCGCAAAAAAGTAGATGCTTTTCTCACAAATGCCTTCTTCACACCTTCCTCTGCTAAGGTGACATGATGATTATTTTTTTAAAAGGCGTGGCCACAAATTAATATATTGAGGCCACAAGTTAAGTTTCTCATGGTCTGGTCTCAATTTATAGAATTTCTGACATTTGACATGTTGATGTGTCTTTCAAAAATGTATAATTTCCTGAGTTGGTCCGAACGAAGGAAACCAAACTATTGTTTGCGTGTAAACATGGCTATTTAAAGCAGTGGCAAGAGGTGACGAATTTTGTCAAATACCGAGACGTCCTTGTAATGCAGCCTAACTTACATAATAGAATATTACAGTACAGTCTTCAACTTTATGGTGCACCCTCCAACTTCTGACACCAAAACCTTTAAATATTCTTCTACTACACTGTACAGAAACTAAACACTGACTAAATTACAGGCAGCTTCCATCAGTGAGCTCAGTACTATACTGATTCTCCATATTGGAGCTACCTAAAGGCCTAGCAAACAAGGAATAATTGGAGTCAGGTTATTGCCAGGAGCGATGTGAGGGGAAATGGATATGCTATCCAGAGATCAGAGAACATGTGGACAACCAGCTGTCCAAATGAACTCACGTGAGAGAAAGAGATGAAGGCCTGCACACAAGCACACGCACATGCAGGCATTCATGAACGCACATGTAAACACACATCTGTGCAGGCTTTTAAGCCTGGACCGAAAACATAAACCTGTTCCTTCTGATTTACTTATATGTTAGTTTGCATGAAAGCCTTTTGTGTAATCAACACAGAGAAAGTGCTATGTGTGTTCTGATGACGCTTTTGCTTACATCAGAGTGCGTTACTGAACACACACCATCCACAAATCCCCTCTCTCCTCTAATCAGTGCACTGTCAGTGCAGTCACGAATTTGTTTACTCCCTTTGCCGCCCATGTTTATCTCAGCCACTTCCTGACCAGCCACTTCTTCAGGTCCGGCCTGTCCTGATTGGTGGAGGCCACAGTCATGTGACTGTGTTTGGTTGGCTTGGTTACACTGTTGGCTTCTTGAAAGAGGATGGAACAATATGCTTGTTTATTTGAGAGTGGATCTAACGGAGTAAACACAAAATCACACTCTGATTCTCCCGCGATAGATGTGCGTCCATGTGACGGAACGAGAAGAGAGGCTGAAGGTGATTAAGTGGTTACAACAGTGCACACCCAGAAACATATTATACATAATGGCCCACTACTCAAGCTTATGTGTACAGGCAGGTTACTGTGCTAGAAAAGTTAATTTTCTAAGTTAAAAGCAGTTTTATTCTATAATGAAATAAAGGTGAATATCAGTTAAGCAGATCATTTAAATTTCAGAAAAATATTCTTTCAACATAATCATGCCATTTCCAAATTAAGGTTAATTTTAATGATTCATAAGTAAAGTTTGTTTATTATCATTTTCAGGACAAACATATCCTGACTTTTGCTGGAAAAACAAGTAGATGCTTTCCTCACAAGTATACGGAGCCCCTAAGGTGACATGGTGATTATTGTTTAATAAGACATGGCCATGTATTAATATACTGAGGCCACAAATTAAATGAAGGAGTAAAACTATTCCTGTTTGGTTACTCAGGTTAAGATTAGGATTAGGATTAGGGTTTGGATTAGGAATATCTTGTTCCACACAGATACTTACATGGGACATATTATTATAACATATTGTTACTGTATGATACATATAGAATGTTATTACATCTACATATACACAATACATATGGAACATATTACTTACACTTATCAACTTATATACTTATACATGTTACATGTATTACATGGAACATGTTCCATATAGATACTTACATACATATATATATATATATATATACATGAGATATGGGGCATTATTATTATATATAGATACTTTATATATACACATATAGTACATATAGTACATACGGTACATTACATTTAGGGACTCTCTCAACTTTTAATGTGAGTAAAGAGATTTTATTCCAACTAATTTTGAAGCATTTCCATTGCCCCATTCATCACAATGTAAAGGCCAGCTTCAGTGTTCAAATGATGTACAAAAGTACGGAGATACATGTTTTATCATGAATTTTTAATTATCATGAAATTTATCATGAATTTTTAAAACAATGTAAAACTTTCTAAAGGCTTTATAAAGGGAATAAGACTTTTAAGTTGTACAAAAAAATGAAAAAAATGGAGATATAAGTTCATGCAAAGTTCATGCATCTGCGACAATATACATATGGGATAAATGTATGCCCCCCCCCCCAAACTTTGTGTAAAGACAAGTTTATGTGTGTGTAGTTGATGTTTGTAAGTCACTGTATTGCTAAAAGGACCATTTTTAGGCCATCACAAAGCTCCCTTGTCAATTAAAGCACATACAACAACACATGTTTACAGTCACCTCTTCACCTGCTGCCTTTAACTGCCTTGTCTTTGTGTCCTACATGCTAATTTGCTGCCAGCTCTTTCCCTTCACGTTCTCTCAGATCATAGAACCGAGATGAGGGTAGAATGAATTTGTCTAAACTTGAGCCTGATGATTATTTTATCTTAACTTATCAAACTGTGTGACTTATGTGTTTGCATATGTGGTTGAGCATGCATGAGTCTTGCTGTGCTCACTTGTGTGTGTGTGTGTGTGTATGTAATGGACAGAGAAAGACAGCAGTTCTAATGGTGGTCTTTGTGTGGCCCCCTGCCCCCAACCCCAGTGACCTCTGACCTCTGGTGACCCCGCTGTCAGCATGGCCGCTGTAAGGAGGGCTGAAACGATTAGGACCCGGCGACCCCAGACCTGACTCCCTTACACACAATCACACACTCACACACACACACACACACTTTCACTAGCTGAAGACACAGTCGCCTCAGAGCTACTGAAGTAGATCACCATGTCCTCACACACACTCTTAAAAATAAAGGTGCCAGAAAAGGTTCTTTGGAGAGATATCACAGAAGAACAACACCTAAAAAACTTTTTAATAGATGAAGGAACCATTTTTGAAAAGGGATGTGTGAAGGCCTCAGTATTAGGGGTGTGCATTCCACATAATTTGGATGTAAGTTTGGCTTTACATATTGAAACATCTGCCTGTAACATCATTTCTGACGGTTACACGAAACAATTCATAAACAAAGCTGCATGCTACACATTCAGTTGCTCCACTAGTTAGGTAAATTAGCGGCTCCTGTTTATTAATACACTGTAAACCTCTCACTACTAAGTCATCCATGAGGTGTAATTTATGTATTTGCAGCATTTTTATCATCTTTGCGTATTTTTTCTAGCCCTCGTTGCCGTTTTTCTTTTTATATATCTATATTTGGTCGTTCATCTATCTATCTAGAGTTCTTTTTATCTCTTATTGTATGAAGAATAAACGCTGGAACAAGCAGCAATATAAACAGCTATTAGTGTCAGCTGGCTATTTAATCCTGTTAGATACAGAAACGTCAGCTTTGAGAAACTCACGTTTGTTGTTATGGCTCAAGAAACTGGCAAAATGAAAAGTGACCAACCTCCAATCACCCAATAAACCATCTTCTGTTTAGATTTCCTTTTCCATTGATCAGGTGAAATTAAATGTTTTAAAATATGTTGTCTGACGTGATTACGTAATGTGTCATTGAAGTTTTGACATTGACTTGTTCCATGAAGTTAAGATGATTGCAACTGTTGCGGCTGAGTTTCAAGTGAGTTGCAGGACACTCAAGTGCAATTTAATTTCATAAAACTAAAGTTGCATGTATGTTTCACAGTGTAAAGCCAGTCTAAGAGATCATAGACAGATATCTGGTTAGCCATAGGAAGGAAAAAGCAACATTAATGTAGGGCTATAAGCTGAGCTTTTTAGGTGGTAGCACTGGTGTTGCACAAAAATATAGCAGCACACAGAGGAATACACTTGAAAACATTTATTATTATTCAAAAACAGCTTATACAGGTCCATAGGATCATAAAAACGATCAGGACTGAACCGTACCAAACCTTGAAATCTAGAATAGAGCAGAAACCAGAATCCTCCTGAACCAGTGTGAAGAACACTGAAGCCAGGTACTTGTCTGTCAGTGCTGCCAAGAACCAGGCCAGAGAATAATTGCAAGCCAAAACGGACAGAAAAACCACACTCGGTTTACAACATGGCAGAATCTCTCGTTCTCTTTCTCTCTCTGCAGGCCCTCTTTTTCTCTGTGCAAATATTTTCTCTTCAGGGAAACCTCAGTTTGGCAACGCACGCCTCCCTCGGCTGAGGATTTTCCCTCTGAACGCACATATTTCTGCAGGACCCAATGCCTGATACTGAACAATCTCAGCAAGGCCAGACT